TATTTTGAAAGAAGTGGCGCAGTATTGTCGATGATGCAATATGTAGACCAATAGAATACAGTCTAAAAATACGGTCGTACCTACTAATAAGTTAGTAGTACGGACGATTTTTGAGACTGTATCTATTGGTCCGTACAATTGCCCCCATCGATTGACAATACTCGCCACTTTTCATAGGACGACTTGGTTTCCCTCACCTTCACTTAGGTGAGAGAGTCCTGACTTAATTATAATGGAGGCATATTAAGTCCCTGTCCTACCCTGTTGAAGTAAGTCTTCGGGTGTCGGACGACGAGAGACCTGAACCCGACTACGAATTCGTAGGTAAGTTTTGGAAAAGAACTTCGACCCTACGGGACCGTCCTCCGTATTATTCGAGAAACAACACCGGAGTCGTCGGGAATTTGGATTAAGAAAAATGGTAACGGGTAATTGTCTTCTTAAAGGAGGGCTATACCGAAACCGGACGTCACAATATTTTATTAGTGTTCCTAAGGGAGTAGTTTGGGAATTTGTGTCGGAAATCCGAAAGTCCAAAATTAGTAAAACTTCTCGAAAGGCCTGGAAACAATCGTAGTAAAACCAAAAGTCACGTTGGTAAGGTGTCCCGACCATGGTCCATTCCGGTGAGGCAAAGAGAGAAGGGTTCGTCCGACCCGGTAAACGAGGTAAGCGAAAAGGGAATGTAAGACGGATTAAAGACCCCGGGGGGGCACGAACCGGAGCTGACTCAAAAAGACCTTACGCTGAAGGACGTTACTTTTCTATTTGTGTAAAAATCTTACTTGTCCTGTGGCGATCTCTGTCGGCTAGTTTATCTCGTCCGAAACCCTGTCTACATCCTCAAAGACATAGATGTTAGGAAACCTACCACTTTTGTTTTGAACCCAGTGTCTCCATTCGGATGAATAGGAATCAGCTCCTTGAAAAATTATTAACCGGGACGCTCGGTTATTCTCAAACCGAATAGTTCCTATGTTCGACCGATCCTATTTTTACAGGTCAGGTTACTTTGTAAGAGTCTAGATAACCCGTAACCTTATTAACCGGTAGCCTTATTACACGGTACTCTTATTGACGAATCAAGGTTATAAATTTAACCTTTTTAATATTTTGTTGATATGGTTTACCACTCCCATACTTTTCTACTTGTTTCCTATTCACGAAACTTTCAGTGACGTGTGTCTATACGTGACTTCCACTGTCCGAAGTATAGACCTGGTACGTACACAGTCAGACAAAATACCACTCTGCGGTCTTAAAGGCGTGTATTACATGTCATCGTCTCAGCTCTTTAAGAGCGGACCCCTCGTCTCACGATGACCCAGATGGTGTTTTTGGTGAACAAGACAGAGAACGATTCCAAAAGAAAAACTCCCTTCCCATTTTTCTGTCACCTTAGAATTTCCTAAGTGTGAGAAGGACGTCACAAACGTTGAGCCTCAATACTTTGTTCGTAGACGGTAAATCTAGAGTGCCAACAGAAAAGAGCCCGGTCTACTCTGGTTTTCTAAAGTCTTGCCTCTAGATTTTTTATTGGTACATGTTTTTTCATTCCGGTTGTTGAACGTATGGAACTTCCTTCTTACTGATACAGGTCCATTTCCAGAGACAACCTTCTTTTCCTTCTATAAACCTAAATCTACATAATTAAACTAAATATCCGATGTCGTTCAATCATCGTTTGCAACCTTGCAATGAAATTGACTTGGTAAATTTCATTTGACTTAATCTATTCTTCAAACTCCTGGTGAGGTTAAATTTCGACTTATTGTGACAGTCTGGAAAAGTCGATCAATCGAATCGGAATCGTATTGCCTACCTTTGTCGATCGGAACATCCGTTATAGTCTTTCAAACGGTCCGCCAAAAATGGATGAATAGTTAAACATTCGAAACCCAATCCAATACGATAAGTTAACCTATTTTCCTCACCATAGTAGAAGTAGATTGGGAATCTTCTTTTGTTTACCTATAGTTCATACGTACGAGGCCTATCCGATTGTTTTGTAAGTAATAATCCAAAAAGAATGTGTAAAGGACTTCGTCTATGTAAAAAAAGTCTCAATAGACAAACTAGAACGAGGTGGAAGAACAAAAAACAAGAACAGACCAACGACACGACAGGATGCGAGACACCGGAACAGGTGAAACACGGGACGCCTGATTGGAAACCACGACGACCCGTCCAGACACACCGCGCGACCCGGCGTGTCTCGCCCCGTCGGAACAAAATCCGAACTGTCCACGGTGTCATGTAGAGGTCGCGGCTGTCGAGTGTGAAACCCTCGTCGGTGAGCAGGTGCTTACGGTGCACTGGCGGCACGTTAACCCCGGTATCGGACAACCAAATGGACAAACTCTCCTTGTCATCTTTTCTCAGTTTCATTCATGTAACCCGTTTATGTTTACGACCGCTAATACCTTTGACCGGGTAAAAGACTAACCATAAATATGTTGGGGTTACACTCCCTACTTACTAACTAACCTGACTTTTGGACAAACGAACTTCAGAACGAAGAAGACTTCAAGGTCTTGAGATAAACAAGATTACCCGAATAAATGATGGTCGCGCCCGAGAGTAGTAGATAGTACGAGTTACGTGAAAACATGCAGAAAATATGTACTGACACCAGGGGCCACAAGTCGTCTTGAGTGGGTTCACAGTCTTTTGTGTTGGGAGAGAGAAAAGGAGGGTATGGGTTTAGAGAATTTTTTCCCCGACGTTAACTAGACTATTGTCCTGACTAGGTCTAAAACTTGTGAAGATACTGCAGGTGTCCTTCAAAGGGGCTGCAATTGATCTGATACAGACTGATCCAGATTTGAACACTTCTATGACGTCACAGAAGTGGCGCTACGGCTATTGGGCCAACTCCACCGATCAGGAGGAGACGGCCATGGACATTGTCGTTCGAAAGCGCTGGAGACGCTGTAGTACATATGCCAGGCCTGTAGATGGTGCTGTTCTCACAGAATCAGCCCATGACAAGACAGTATTTGAGTGAAATGAGGAATGGCAAAATGCATGATCTGTTTGGTATTTTGAAAAATAAAAAGTATAAATATGCCTTATATAGGTATGGTCCTACACTATATTATTCAAATATAGCATGATAGGTCCACTTTAAGCGTGCCTGGCCCGTTTTTGGTTGCGTTTCCACTTGGCGTAGTTCCGGCTAGCGGGTACTATTTCACAGTTTTTCTGGCCCCATAAAATCGAGGTTCTTTCCGGGCCAACAACCAGGCTGAGTCGGGCTGAGTATGCTAAACTAGTGAGAGAATCGCTGTCAAGGGGGCTGCAACTACAGCAAAATGAACATATTTGACCGTGATTTAATTGTAATACACGTTTCAAAATGATGCCGAAGTAACAACATACTGATACCGGTTAGTAAAAACCATGAATTAATGCTTTGACAAGTCTGCAGACAGACGGTAGGCAAACAACCTTTTAAAATGCGTGTTTTCTGAATGGAGATCGGCTATGCTAACGCAGTATATATACTCCGACCGTCCACACTCACAACAACGGCCCAAACAGACATAAATAAACCAGCGACTGTATTCGCTATGACACAGACAGTCTGTGGTTTGTACAGTACAAACCACAGACTGTCTGTGTCATGTCAAAGTTAAACAAGTACAAATTGTACTTGTTTAACTTTTGTCTAGTTTCTGAACAGATATGAGGAGCTGTGAGCTTGAGTGCTAACAGCTAACGGCTGATGTTGTTTTTCTGGGGCTCTCATTGAAGATGACGTCACGGCTCCGCCTATACTGCGTTACTATAGTTACTACCCCAGTTCCTAAACTGTAATGGAAATGCGCCATAAAGTGAGCCAGTCCTAACGAGGCCTAGCCATACCGAGCGAGGCCGTGTAGTGGAAATGCGCCATTAGATGTGTTGATGGCTGCATCGTTACCAAACCTGTGAAGTTTTGGGCAATTTCGAGCATTTCCACTGAAGTTGTGAGAAAACCGTGTTTCATATTGAGCATTGTGTTGCCAAGGCGACGGCATTTGAAGAAATCTTAAAACTGTCAAATAGATGTTTTCACGGCTGGGCTGTTAGCACACATGAGCACGTTTTGACAATTTTCATAGGAGTTATAGCAATATCGTGTTTTACGGCGAGGGATGCGTTGCCATGGCAACAGCTTTTGAGGAAAACCCACTAATGGCACATAGACATGTTGAAGGCTGGACCATTAACCATTATCTGAAGTCTGCTGCTCTGAGAATGTCAATTGACCTAACCCTAATTGTCAAAAAGCCAAAAAAAATGTATGACCGTTTTATTGTTGAAATGAAAATATGAGATGAAACATATTGTGATATAATATATAAAATCATAATAAAAAATTATAAAATATAACACAATATAATATAATAATAAATTGAAATTATATATTTTAATATATACAAAAAACACTGTTAATATAGTATTTATCATATTTTATTTTGTTTTCCTGTACCCTGTTTCTTACGTATTGATAGTTTTGTGTTACTATTATGGTAGTAGTCTTGACAAATAGTTTATAAAAGTTCAATGATTTGCTCTTTTCTTAAAAGAAAAAGCATATTCTTCTTTCTGTGTCTCTGTATGCACCATTTACATAAAAAGTGAATTCTTCATTTGTGTAAACCCGATTGGTAATAAAATAAATAGTGGTATAAAAATATAATACAACATAATATCATTATATAATTTATAAAAATATAGTAAATATATAATTATATATATCCCAAAGGTCATAATAATGCTATCGCCTGAGCTTGCACTCTTTTTTTTCCTTTACACGTATTTTTATTGCATTGTTTTTGATGAACCTGTTACCAACGTTTTTCGTTGCACAACTACACTGTAGCTGCTGCGTATTTGACATTAAAACCTTTGAACCGTGAACTGACAAGAAAAGGACTTCAACTACCAGCATGCATCGCTTCTCTTTTCCCTCCAACGCCCCGCCCGGAACTCGTCATATCGTCACGCAGAACATGGCTGCCGCGAGTGAGGCAAAAACAAAACACCGATGATTTTGGGGCTAATTCTCATCTAATTTGGACTAAAAACCTCAACATGTCGGAGTCTTTAGAAACTACAGCTATGGAGGAGCGACAGGAGCAGCTGCGGGAGCTGACGGAGTTCACAGAGAACTGTAAAGAGAAACTGAACCATATATTAGAGAGCCTGGGATGGTCGCTGGACTACAAACAGGTACAATATGCCATAGCTAGTGAAACGAAGATGCGGGAAGTAACTAAGTACATTTACCCAAGAACTGTGAACCAATTTGAGTCACTTGTATTTCCATTTTATGCTACTTTGTACTTCTACTCCTCTACAGTTCAGAGGTAAATGGTGTACTTCTACTCCACTACATGCATTTAATACCTTTAGTTTAGTTACTTTAGAGATGTGGATGAATGATGTGAAATCTAACAAAGTGTTAAATCAGACTTTAGTTCCACCTGGAGTAAATCCACAAGCTACCCTGCAGTATACAAAGTCATTCAAACTAGCTGCTCCTTTACCAGCTTTGAGAATACTTTCATGATCAATCATTATAAAACATATCATATATATTATTCTGAAATGGACCAATCTGCACAATGACTACTTTTACTGTCGCTACTTTAATTATATTTTGATGAGAATACTTTTCTACTTTTACTTGAGGAACATTTTGAATTCAGGACTTTTACTGAAACTAGAGTATTCCTACACTCTGGTACTTCTACTTTTACTCAAGTACAAGACCTGAGTACTTCTACTTTTACTCAAGTACAAGATCTGAGTACTTCTACTTTTACTCAAGTACAAGATCTGAGTACTTCTACTTTTACTCAAGTACAAGATCTGAGTACTTCTACTTTTACTCAAGAACAAGATCTGAGTACTTCTCCCACCTCTGGTCAAACGTCTGAAACACAGAGCAAGCGGTGTGTAGGTGTGTCTTCTGAAAGTACATTTAAGTTGAATTTAGTTTCTTTATTTTCGTTTCCTCTCAGGAGCTAATGGAGCAGTGCCCGTACGACTCCCACCACAGAGTCCCAGCGAGGAGCCTGGAGAAACACAAAGCCTCCTGCAGCCTCCGGAAGATGGGCTACTCCGCAGAGGAAGAGGTAACACACACATGGCTATAGTCAAAGTGTGTGTGTGTGTGTGTGTGTGTGTGTGTGTGTGTGTGTGTGTGTGTGTGTGTGTGTGTGTGTGTGTGTGTGTGTGTGTGTGTGTGTGTGTGTGTGTGTGAGAGAGATAGCAGTGTTGGAGACAAGCTTGGCTCTAGATAGTTATATTGCCTGATTACCTGTAGTATCCTTTAACATCATATTCTGTATCTGCTACACACACACATGGAAACTAACATAGCAATTGCCCAGAGAACATAATTAAAGATTCAAAGGCTTTATTGTCATATATGGCGGTTACGTCCCGTCCCTCTACCAAGCGGTAGTGGNGTCTAGTCTGCTTGAATACCGGCACACATAGAGTCCTCGAACTCCTAGTAACGACAAACACAAATTTACCGACAGACCGTATAAGTAGTACATATGCCACGGTAATCCTCAGCCTCTGACAAACTAAGAATGCGACGCCAGGGAGTGCCGTCGTAATGGATACTATTTAGGTCCGGGTTGTATTTCGACCTACAGAGCCACCCTACTCCAGTAGCCTAAGTTTATCCTTTGAGACGTAAACTGAGATTATTAGTCTTTTCTTGTATTACAAGGGAAACTTCGGCAAAGGGACAATAAACGGAGAGTGTGTGTAACCGACACTACAGTACAGATTACGACTAATATTAACCTATTATATCGAATCGTTTGTAACGATTTTTATGGTAGTACAGAACAGTCCAACATTCTTAAGTAGGACCACTCGTCTTATAAATCGAAATATTAGGGGGATAATTTACATAAATATTATTAGTAACTTACGAACTTCGGAAAACCACCTTCACCTTTGACGAAATCGGCATTGTTGTACTAGAAAAAAGAGTCTTCTTTAACACTAAATAACTCTCTCAGAACACGTCAAAAAAGACGAGCCCCCAGAAGGTCCTTCTCTCCGAGAACACAGACACGCCCAACGACATTGCGGGAACCTAATGAGCTATAACGGAGCTTAGAGGTATGCGTTTTTCCTGTTCCCCTAAGTTATTACCTACGAAACAAACATAAGGTCATTAGTTATGTCCAAACTAAAACGAAACACACACACCCCCACTAACGAACGAAAGTATTTATATTTTCACAGTCGGACGAAGAATTTTACTATAATTACAAGGTATAATTTACACGACGTAGCAGTTGTAGAAATATCTAAATAGACAACAGACACATTATTGGATTGCTACTGCGATAACAATCAACACACCACAACACACACACACACACACACACACACACACACACACAACACACACACACACACACACACACACACACACACCACACAACATCACACACAACACACACACACACAACACACACACACACACACCACACACACACACACACACACACACACACACACACACACACAACACACACACACACACACACCGATTACTCTTTCGCGACGGCAATTACTGAGGTAAGTCCGACAAAGATTTACGTGAACGTGAGGCTACCCTGTGAGTCGGTCTCTTAGACGGGTGAGTCGTCTTGCTCGAGTCTGAGACCGTCCGGTGGTCTCTGCTGTGGTGTGTGTGTGTGTGTGTTGTGTGTGTCGTGTGTGGTCATGTGTATGTCGTGTGTTGTGTGTGTGTGAGCGTGTACGTCTGTGTGTGCGTGGTACGATGTGGGTCTGTTAGTCACCCCACGAAAGTGAATACGTAAACAACACAACAAACCAAAGTGCAGAAACCGCACACCGGAAATGAACTATCAGGTTGTTATACTCGGCCTTGTCTCTGAACCTTTCCTCACTCTCTCTAGTGAATAAGCTAGTTCCGTTTTACGTGCAATGGGGACTCGTTCCAGACCGTATCTTTATACTTTATACGGTGACGTTACGACGCATGATGGTCTTACCTTTATAAGTACGGTGTTCGACGTCGTCTAGTCTATATTTTCGTGGGATTTCGGATCGACTTATGACTTAGGAACATTATAACCGAGTACAACTGTTGTAATGAAATATACTACGTCGATATATACGAGGTGGAAAAAAGCCTTCCTAAAATAGAGTATTTACATCTTATTTCATCGACCGAGCACAAAGATGAACTTATCCATAATATAATGACTAACAATAAGAGGCCGACTAGACACGGATACAGTCTCCGTCAACCTAACAACGGGGTATTGTCTATGACGTCGCTATGGTGTTCGACCGTGTCTCTTTTGGTAACACTCCGATTTCTCGTTATTTCACACGGTACCAAATAACACCCTTGTTAGGTCGAGAAAAAATATGATGGTGTCTAGTCGGCCTCATAGGATAGTAAAGGACTATGCGAGACAGTTCACTTAATTCACGTGACAATCGACGGATAAACACAGATTAATACTTGTATACTTTTTAGTGATGGTTTGTTCACCCACGAATATACCGACTGTAGTATTAATATAACAACAACTAGACAGTACATACCAGATTATTCACTGTGTTCGAGACGAAGTCGACAGCGAAGTATCTACGACATATTCTAGACGAGGTTTCTAACAGCCGTGTTCACTTCATAATAAATCCCCCTTATGTTCACTGGAAACGACGACAGACGGTCGTAAGCTGTCGACACCAAGTAAGATATTTGCGGAACAGCTCCGTCGCACTACTAAACGATACTATTAAGTTTAAGGTCGAGTGGGCAGTCCAGGAATAGGTTCAGAGACACGGTCGGAGCCTTACTTCGTAACAACGGATAGTTATTGACGTACGGAAATTTCTACTTGTTTCTTAGTTAGACAGGAGACTTCCGTCTGGTGAAAGACAGACCACACGTTTCGTAACTACAGACTATCATCGAATCACACACTGGACACAAGACATTCGTATCAATGACACGACACATAATACAGTCTAATACACAGTGTTTAATTGTACAGATAATAGGACAAACAAGTTAGGGATGTTTCTACGCCCACCTAATAAAGGACCGACTGACTGACTCACAGTGTAGAAGGAGGACAACAGTGACACGAACGACGGCTGCCTCGCTGCGATCGCAGACAGATGTAAGAAGTAGGAAATTTGTATGTTAAAGAGGAAAATGTCTTATCAAAAAGTTCTGTTGGTGTCATCGAGTCTTATGCGTGTTATATTCAGTGAGAAGAACACTGTGGACGAGAACTAGTGTGTGACTTGCGAAGGATGCAGCGTCATCTAATGTCTGTGGTCTCCGTGAGAGTACCGTATAAAGTGCTCACGTACTTCGCAGCAGCATATCCAATAAAAACGTCAGTATTGTCTATTAGGATATTTACAGCTACGTCGGTAAATTAGTGGATTTCAGTAAATTCTTTCGTCCAGACGGTGAAATAGAAACAAACTCGCTCGAAGTGAGAATGACAAGTGTCGGTGTAGTCTCACATACCGAATGAGGTCCCTGTCAAATGTTAGACATTCGTGAGGTAATATCTAGACGGAACTAGGAAAAACGAATACTCTAAGCTACGTTATAGCTCATATGGATGCTTCTCCGCATGTCGTAGCCGTGGTTGTGTTCTCCGAGAGTAAGGACCTTCTCGTGACATCTTCTTTTTGTACCTGTTTTGAGAAGTTATTTAGTGTTAACGACAGAACGACAGTTTTTTCGAGATACAGAAATGCGATGTCGCAAGTGAAGTGTCACTCGAGTTCGTAAGCACTCCTACAGACTCCTGATATGTACAGCATTCGAACTATTACGACGTAAAGTACTGGAGTGATCCTACTTAAGGGAATGTTGGACGGTGAGTGAATCTAGTAGTACCCAATAAAGAGGGACAAACGACTCCATAGATGACGGCAGAACTATTATGTAGTAATCGTGTACTTATATAGGATGTGGTACACGCGATTCCGTTTTTGTCGGTCTGCCGAGTTGAACTGTAAATTTAATTATAAAAGAGTAATCGTGAGAAAATTTTTACAAAGAGATTTACGTGTCTTTGTTTACATAGGAACTTAGGCACTGAGTAGGGTGAGCTCAGTTCCGGCGCGAAATACACAACCGACTAAAGTATCCATTACGACGCACTCGGCGGCATTCTAAGTCTAGTCAGAGGCTGAGGACTACCGTGCCATAGTACTACTTATACGGTCTGTCGTAAACGTTTTGTCGTTACTAGGAGTCAGGACTCTATGTGTCAGTTAATACTAGACTAGACTACCTATTCGCCCCACAGTCTCCACGGCAACACTACACCGAGTTATAATCTCTGTCATGGTCGGACTATATACACTACAAAAAGACACGACAAAACAAGAACAACGTGGGCCTTACATTTATCACATAGCGGTCTACACTTTTACGACAGCTCCAACCTATTACGCAAACGTTTGTGCGAGGGTAAGGAGACACGATCGCATATTATCAACAGCTAAGAGTAGAGGACATCAGAAGTCACACGTTAACAATACACATCTTCAAAGTAACAGGTAATATAAACAGGTATGCTTATTAATCATTACAAGGACAAACGGACAGAGTGTCGCTACGATGTAGGCCTCGGGCAACTCAGCCTCAACGACGTAGAACCGAGTTCTGCGGTTGGGAAGCTATTACCCCGACTGAAGAGCCTGGACTATCACACACTACCGCCACGTTCATCTAACACGACACTGACAACTCATTATAGTGTACACGAAATGAATAATATAGGTGGGTGTATAAAAATACTAAAATGAAACATATCATGTTCATCATCACACTGTCACGCATATTGAAAAATAAAGTAAGTAACAGTTGTCGAATCTCGTCAAACCATCTCTCGCGTCGCAACAACAATACAGCAACAGCACAAAGAGGACACAGCCACCGACATGAAGCAATGTATACCTGTAGGATGCATTACTTCCGCGTCGCTCACAAGCAACAGATAAACGATCGCGAGGTTGTATAAATGCACACACAACACCACATTTAACACTCGACCACGACACTGTAAGCATATTCTCGACACACACACACACGAGCTACTAACAGATGATTGTCTCAGGCCAGTCGATTGGGTTAAGTCCTCCGTCTGAACCGGAGCACAACTTTGTATATTTCTACACATCGACTGATAACACAAACTTTCATATTAAGAACTTTACATACTCACCGCTGCATACTTATCCCGGGGAAATTTTAAGAACCACGTAACGCTACAGCCTGTTTTGTTGTTGTGGTGTGTGACTTTTTATTCGGATAAATTCTTCCAGAACATATGTGAACTCTACACCACACCTACAATTACAACCTACGTCGTTACTTGTGTCAGTCTCTTCAGACACATCTGTATGCCCTCCAGACCTTAACTCTGTGAATTATGTAATGATACATCAACTTATACGACCGACACAATATACTAGTCTCCATTTAGCCGGTGTCAGAGGTGCCCGTTTGATGTGGCTCAATTATTTAGAGACAGTACCAGCTGAATTATGTGATTTTTTCTGCTGTCTTTGTTGTTGTTGCACCCGGAAAAAAGAGAGCTGTTAAACTGTGGGTTGGTAATGCGTTTGCAAAACACGCTGCCATTACCTCTATGCTGCGTATAATAGTGTGATTCTCAGCTCATTATATCGGGAGGATTTCCAACTACACACTGATGAATTACTCTAGTGAAGACAACACTTGTTAAATCAACCAAGGGACAATAAACATAAGCTGATTTATGGTGGAGACAGGACACAAACACAAACAGCAGAGTAGAGGAAATGTCAACACTGCAGTAACCTTTTCGAATGAAATTATTTAAAGACAACTTAAAGGTCACCTATTATGCGAAATCCCCTTTTTCATGTTTTTTATACATCAGCATGTGTCCCCTCCGTGTAAAGAGATTCTGAAAGTTTCAGGAAAAAAGATTCTCTCTCTTTCTGTCCTGATCCATTTCTATAAAAACCTGTCTGAAAATGAGCTGATCAGATTTTGGCCACTTTATGATGTCATAGCGATTTTGTGGCTTGTGTA